GATTTAGGCTATTTGTCTGGAATACGTCCAACCACCCAGCGAGTCTAGACCAGACTGAATACTTCAGGCGAGGTGAGGACACCCCCCCTCGATCACGTGATAGCTCCGTGGACAGCTGCAGCTCAGAAACAGAAGCCGGCAAAGTAACGAGCAAGGAGCGATAATTACAGTAGTTAGACAATCAAGACTTGAACTGAGCACATAATATGTTACATCCTACCTAACCAAAGGAAGCTAAGTCAAATAACAATATAAAGCAATACATTTACGATTTAGCTATTATCGCAATTACAAGCAATATAAAATTATATGAAAAGGTAATAATTATATATATATATATATATATATATATATATATATATATATATATATATATATATATATATATATATTATATATTTGAATATATATATATATATATAAAATATATATGTATATTATTATATATATATATATGCTTTACTTTCATTGTTCCTTGATAATGTGAGTAGTCACGAAAGCGCTTGGAATTTCACTATTCTTTCACAGTGGTTGTTTTGCATATTCTGAAATATATATATATATTATATATATAATATATATATATATATATTATATATATATATATATATATATATATATATATATATATATATATATATACATATATATGTAAGTAGGAACAAAGAGTCATAACTTGTACATAGTGTTAAATAAGGTTTATGATCCTGTTCATATTTCCTTCGGAGAGAATTTTCAAGTAAGGATGGGGCGTGAGACTTTTTAAAATGCATCATTAACTGAGGCAGCAACACTTGACCAGGCTGTCAGTGTCAGGGTGACAGGCTGTCAGTATGTCAGAGTGACTAGGTGTCAGGCGTTCACCGTGTCAGGCTGCCACAAGCCACCAATGCTTCGGCTCTCCAGGTAATTTGTAGCAATATAATAATAATAATATTTTGGAGCCTCTCTGGCCTCCAGGGTATATTGTGGCGCTCATTTAGCAAAGGTTATGCGTTTATAATTCTGCTCTGCTCAGGGCAAATATATGATGGTATGCTGGGTATAACACGATAGCATTTTGTAAGGGTTTTTCATCGCACCATGACTCACGAAATCGTAACGACACGATTGTAAACAGATCACAAAACGGGTGGGACTCGAACGATGGCTTGCTAGTTTTACGTCTCCCATGCCATAGTTTCGATTCCCAACCCCCTTTGGGATTTTTCGCTATGTTAAGACAAGTAGTTATGTGTGTTAGTTGCATGTGTATGTGTCCATGTGGTGGTAAATCCCTAGGCATGTAACTTGCTGCCGTCTCTGACTCATACAAACGTGGAAATGCATTGCATACTAGTGGCTGTCTTTTGTGTGTACTGATGTTTCATTACATGTAAACTACATTATTCTGTACCACATAAAAAATAAAACTGCATTTGTACTTGTATTCACAGAGACGAGTGAATCTCAGTATGCTCGTATATACTCTACACTGAGTTTTCTGAAGTCACATCTTCAATATTCCTGACTGACTGATGACCCAGTGTTATGCAGCCTTAATAAGCTTCATGCAGCAGTTTGGCTTTAAACCTAATAAGGCAACAAATCTCTGACTTCCAGACACTCACGATACATTGTTGAAGAGTTCGCTTAATTCAGGTCATTATGTTGTAGGAGGACCAATAGCAGCAGCACTCTGGGTGTTCATCGAAGCCAGTGGTGTGACACCGATCTCACCACCTCCATAAATATTCATATATCATTTGCATGCATCAAAAATGTGCAGCTAGCCATTGCAGCGGCAATTTTAGCCTGGAGACTAATGGTGATGGGTTTACCTCGTGCTTGTCCTTGACAGGACATGCTTTGTTAGTTTAATAATTTCCAGATGAAGTTAAATAATGATGGACTGATCTAGGGAGACATGATATTAAGTCAGTGTTCAGAAGTGATGGAGAGGATTTAATTTCACGACTCTTCAAATATGAAAACCCGTTGTTCAATAAAGAATGGGCACGGAATCGAACCATGGCCTGGCATGTGGTCTGACATGTGGTCTGGCATGTGGTCTGGAATGTGGGAGACCCAGTGCTTCGAGGTGAATGAGGACAAACGTACCGTGAAAGTTTCTGGTGCAGTAGGAAGAGACAGTAGGGTGACAGCTGGTGCTGCTGATATTGACAAAGTCACGGAAGTCCTGTCTATAAAAAAACACCCCAGAACGGTGAGGCCCTTTACCCCTGGCGAGTTAGTCGTAAAATCATTGTGTACTGGAACAGCAAAACAGCACACTACCTGCCAGGGGAGTACGACTTAAGTGTACATTTTATATATATATATATATATATATATATATATATATATATATATATATTTATTATATATTATTTTATATACTTAAGTAACGTACTCATTACCCTTTGTCAAAGTTATGAAAAGACAATTTGCACTTCGATAACACAGTTGGATTCACATAAAATTTGTTATTAAGGTGAAAAATTTTTCACTCTAGGCACTCACCACTGTCATTTGATCCCGATGTCAACAAACCCTTACTGGTGACGGATTTCTGCTCTAAATACTCTTCTCAGTGATAGTTTTCAATTATTATACTGCCACCATGAGTTTTAGACTCTGGTTGGGTGTGTGTGTGTGTGTGTTGGGGTTTTGTGTTTTGGTGTGTGTTGTGTGTGGTGTGTGTGTGTGTGTGTGTTCTGTGTGTCTGGTCTGGTGTATGTGTCTATGTGTGTTGTGCCCTCCACACCACACACACACACCACACAAAAACATCTAAGTCTCTGTTTTATTTTCCTAATTCATTCTCAGATGTCGGATATTTATCATTACATCTTGTGGAGACCCTGAAATATACTCAATTACTAGTGTAAAGGAGGAATATTATCATATCCTGGGAGTAAGATATTGCCCCTTTTATCTTTGAAGAGCTATTACGGAGTATTTAAAAACTTAGCCATAGTTTTGGGTTATCTCTCGAGAAAGGGATATTTCAATAATAATCCACAGATACTGTATTCAATTTTATTCAATAAAGGCGTGTGTTTTCTCACGTATAAGAGTTCGTTTATTTCTTCCCGAAATAAATTAGCCAAAAAAAAGTAATGTTTGCCAGGATGACTTAGGTTAAATTAACATAAATTAACGAAGATTAACGTAAATTAACGTAGAAAAAAGGAGATATCTTACTGACTCACAGGGGCCGTGCTGCGCCTAAGGCTTTGGAGGCAATCTGACTCTGATCCGAGGAAAGGGAGGACAGCTCTAGTTCCTTAGATCATGAGGGGGAGAAAGACATGCCTAAAGAATCATAATTTTTTTTTTTCAATAAGAAACATTAACGAGGGTAATTGAAAGACACTTGTGTCTGACGATGTTTATTTATAAAATACCTTGTTAAAAAGAACATTTGTCCTTAACATTATGTATAAAATACGAAGACCAGAACGGGTTTAATACCATGTGCAAAAATATCTTCGCCTGGTAACGCCTTTATCAAAATTATTCTGCACCCAAAGAACAACATTATATATATTATATATATATATATATATATATATATATATAATATATATATATATATTATATATATATATATATATATTTTGTTATATATATATATATATATATATATATATTATATATATATTATATTATATATATATTTATATATATATATATATATTCACAAAACTGACTCACCACAATAGAAAAATCTATGTTAGTGATAATGATTAAGTTATGCCTGGGTAACATCACTGTTATTAATGTTTCTTATCATTTCTCAGTGGTGTTATCTCACTTCCGGTGTGATGTTTCACACTGCGTGATACACCGAATCAACTTTGTTTACATCCAGTACTGATGGTAACCTCGGCACTCCTGGCCAGGGCGGTACATCTCCAGCTGGGCGTAATATTTATATTTTCGTGTCTGACATACAACTGGAAGTATCGAAAAGATGCACATCATTGTTAAGAGTTCAAAATTCTGTGTCAGACATATACTGAAACACACGTCTGGATGTAGCACCTTAACATGGCCGAGCCACCTCTTGGAAAAGGCCCGGGCCGGGCCATTATACTGGAGAATCTAGAACAACAACAACCCTAAGATATGAAGCTGTGGGTGAATGCTTCGTTATATACTGACCGTTGTATTGCTGTATTATAATCTTGGCTTGAGATCTTCCTTACTATCAAGAAATACCAAGATTTTGCTCACCGTCTCACTCACTTTCTAGGAAGCAGTTGCCTTGATTTTTCTCCCGTGTGATGGGAACAAATCTGTTCTCTCAAATATTTCCTATTGTGGTGAATCACTGAGCTTCATACATCACACTATTACAGTTTCTTTGTGATAAATCATAAGCAAACTTACGTGGAGACAATAAAACGGGAATATAAAATCATTTAAACCGTGGTTTAAAAATATTTGACCACCGTAGATGTGTTTATACAAAGTTCCCTGAAACGAAAAATTCATTCGAACACTAGAGAAACAGAACGAAACTTGATGTGTAGGAAGCTGTTTCAGTGGATAATAAAACTGTGTACACAAGCCCAGAATTCTTGAGTCGAGTTTAATGGCATTACAACCTAACTTGAACATCTAACAGTTACCTTCTGTAAGACAAAACAATTAGTTCAAAATACATCAAAACAAACCCAAGATATCGTCAGAGAAATATATATATATATATATATATATATATATATATATATATATATATATATATATATATATATATATATATATATATATATATATATATATATATATATATATATGTTTCGAGTGACCTTGTGTTGTTGATGAGAAATAAAGGGCCTCACATTCAAGTATATTACCACATAAATTTTCAGTTTTATTGCCTCCATGTGGGTTTGTTTAAGTATTTATAAAGTTTATATATATATATATATATATATATATATATATATATATATATATATATATATATATATATATATAATATATATATATAATATATGTATGTATGTATTCTTTAAATAAAGAGAAAATTTCTAGTTTTAATATCTTTGACAACAGCAAGTATATTGTGACTGGAGGTCCTCCGTACACAGTCAGTTGAACACCGTCAGTTAAGCACAGTGAATGTTCGTCCAGGAGAAGGATGTCAGCAGTGTGTTGCTGATGTCACTGTCTTCATCTTGATGAGTAATTCCTGACCACACCAGAGTACATTCTCTGGTGTGACTGTGTGTTGTTCTTGACGTGTGAGACACCAATATCTAAACCAAAAATAATGAAGTGTATTAAGTACGTGCAGAGGAGAATGTCTATATGTTTGTTTTACCTTTCATTGAAGCTGTGTATTATATCCGCTGCAGAGTGTGTGTGTGTGTGTATGTGTGTGTGTCTATGACGACCTGTGTCACTGTAACTAGTGAATAAATATATACTATCGTATATGTTTATCTTATTATTCTCCTTTCCAGAGGATTTCAGCTGACTTTTTTTTCAGAATATTGTCATAGTACATAATAAAATCGGGAACTTAAAAAAAATCGTGAGTGAAGCAGCGAAATATAAAAGGAAATATAAATGAGGATTAACAGGGGTTTAAATCCTGAGTGAACAGCAGAAAAGACTAAAGAGTGAAAAAAGAGTGAAAGTGGAGAGTGAAAGTGATGTGTTGGGAGAGTATGATGGTGGAGATGGTTATCATGACGTACTTGTGAGGGAGAGAGGGATTAATAAGGCACACAGTGATGGCGCTGATGGTGGTGAGTGATGGGTGGTGGATGCTGCGGTGATGCTGCTGGCTGTGATGGTGCTAGCGACGAGAGGGCGGCAGCCTGCTAGTGGCACCCTCGTGGTGCCATGACGCTGGTGGCACCCTCCTGGTGCCATGACGCTGATGGCACCCTCCTGGTGCCATGACGCTGGTGGCACCCTCGTGAGGGTATGACGCTGATGGCACCTTCATAAGGGCATGATGCTGAGGAGGGGAGATGTGTCATTTACGGTGAGAGTGGCACTGGTGGTCACACATGGCTTCTGTGACAGTAGCACTGGTGGCCACACATAGCTCGTGTGAGATGGCACTGGTGGCCACACATGGCTTCTGTGAGAGTCTCACTGGTGGCCACAATTGGCTCCTGTGAAAGTGGCACTGGTGGCCACACATAGCTCCTGTGAGACAGCACTGGTGGCCACACATAGCACCTGTGAGAATGGCACTGGTAGCCACACATGGCTCCTGTGAGAGTGGCACTGGTGGTCACACATCGCTCCTGTGAGAATGACACTGGTGGCCACACATCGCTTCTGTGAGTGGCACTGGTGGCCACACATGTCCACCTAGACCTTCTGCAGCTATATCCACGTCACTTCTGAGGGGAAAGAAACTTTAATATTCACTCTTGAGTAAACAACTCAAGCTGTCAGGGTACTTAAACACACACACACACACACACACACACACACACACACACACACACACACACACACACACACACACAAACACAAACTTTGCTAAACACCTCATTCCTTCCTTTACACTGATGTGGTCAATAAACTGGCTTATTATATACATATAAACAGCAATAAAAAATAAACTGGCCTACTACATAAGAACAGTTGGTAGTGAACGATGCAATACAGTTTATTATACAACAGTTAATTGCAAAACCCGACTCAAATTACCACGTCACTGCAATATATCTTTTTTTTTTTATTCCCGATATTTTCCTCCGATAATTTATTAGATGAAGGAATGTATTTACCTTACAGCAGGTGTGTGTGTGGTGTGTGTGTGTGTGTGTTGTGTGCGTGTGTGTGTGTGTGTGTGTGTGTGTGTGTGTGTGTGTGTGTGTGTGTGTGTGTGTGTGTGTGTGTGTGTGTGTGTGTGTGTTGTGTGCGTGTGTGTGTGTGTGTGTGTGTGTGTGTGTGTGTGTGTGTGTGTGTGTGTGTGTGTGTGTGTGTGTGTGTGGTGTGTGTGTGCGTGTGTGTGTGTGTGTGTGTGTGTGTGTGTGTGTGTGTGTGTGTGTGTGTGTGTTGTGTGCGTGTGTGTGTGTGTGTGTGTGTGTGTGTGTGTGTGTGTGTGTGTGTGTGTGTGTGTGTGTGTGTGTGTGTGTGTGTGTGCGTGTTGTGTGTGTGTGTGTGTGTGCGTGTGTGGTGTGTGTGTACTCACCTGGTTGTACTCCACCTAGTTGAGGTTGCAGGGGTCGAGTCCAAGCTCCTGGCTCCGCCTCTTCACTGGTCGCTACTAGGTCACTCTCCCTGAACCATGAGCTTTATCATACCTCTGCTTAAAGCTATGTATGGATCCTGCCTCCACTACATCGCTTCCCAAACTATTCCACTTTCTGACTACTCTGTGGCTGAAGAAATACTTCCTAACATCCTGTGATTCATCTGTGTCTTCAGCTTCCAACTGTGTCCCCTTGTTACTGTGTCCAATCTCTGGAACATCCTGTCTTTGTCCACCTTGTCAATTCCTCTCAGTATTTTGTATGTCGTTATCATGTCCCCCCTATCTCTCCTGTCCTCCAGTGTCGTCAGGTTGATTTCCCTTAACCTCTCTTCGTAGGACATACCTCTTAGCTCTGGGACTAGTCTTGTTGCAAACCTTTGCACTTTCTCTAGTTTCTTTAGGTGCTTGGCTAGGTGTGGGTTCCAAACTGGTGCCGCATACTCCAATATGGGCCTAACGTACACGGTGTACAGGGTCCTGAACGATTCCTTATTAAGATGTCGGAATGCTGTTCTGAGGTTTGCTAGGCGCCCATATGCTGCAGCAGTTATTTGATTGATGTGCGCTTCAGGAGATGTACCTGGTGTTATACTCACCCCAAGATCTTTTCCCTTGAGTGAGGTTTGTAGTCTCTGGCCCCTAGACTGTACTCCGTCTGCGGTCTTCTTTGCCCTTCCCCAATCTTCATGACTTTGCACTTGGTGGGGTTGAACTCCAGGAGCCAATTGCTGGACCAGGTCTGCAGCCTGTCCAGATCCCTTTGTAGTTCTGCCTGGTCTTCGATCGAGTGAATTCTTCTCATCAACTTCACGTCATCTGCAAACAGGGACACCTCAGAGTCTATTCCTTCCGTCATGTCGTTCACAAATACCAGAAACAGCAATGGTCCTAGGACTGACCCCTGTGGGACCCCGCTGGTCACAGGTGCCCACTCTGACACCTCGCCACGTACCATGACTCGCTGCTGTCTTCCTGACAAGTATTCCCTGATCCATTGTAGTGCCTTCCCTGTTATCCCTGCTTGGTCCTCCAGTTTTTGCACCAATCTCTTGTGTGGAACTGTGTCAAAGGCCTTCTTGCAGTCCAAGAATATGCAATCCACCCACCCCTCTCTCTCTTGTCTTACTGCTGTCACCATGTCATAGAACTCCAGTAGGTTTGTGACACAGGATTTCCCGTCCCTGAAACCATGTTGGCTGCTTTCTAGGTGTTCCACCACTCTTCTCCTGATAATCTTCTCCATGATTTTGCATACTATTCATGTCAGTGACACTGGTCTGTAGTTTGATGCTTCATCTCTGTCTCCTTTTTTAAAGATTGGGACTACATTTGCTGTCTTCCATGCCTCAGGCAATCTCCCTGTTTCGATAGATGTATTGAATATTGTTGTTAGGGGTACACATAGCGCCTCTGCTCCCTCTCTCAATACCCATGGGGAGATGTTATCTGGCCCCATTGCCTTTGAGGTATCTAGCTCACTCAGAAGCCTCTTCACTTCTTCCTCGGTTGTGTGCACTGTGTCCAGCACATGGTGGTGTGCCCCACCTCTCCGGCTTTCTGGAGCCCCTTCTGTCTCCTCTGTGAACACTTCTTTGAATCTCTTGTTGAGTTCCTCACATACTTCACGGTCATTTCTCGTTGTCTCTCCTCCTTCCTTAGCCTGATTACCTGGTCCTTGACTGTTGTTTTCCTCCTGATGTGGCTGTACAACAGTTTTGGGTCAGATTTGGCTTTCGCTGCTATGTCATTTTCATATTGCCTTTGGGCCTCCCTTCTTATCTGTGCATATTCGTTTCTGGCTCTACGACTGCTCTCCTTATTCTCCTGGGTCTTTTGCCTTCTATATTTCTTCCATTCCCTAGCACACTTGGTTTTTGCCTCCCTACACCTTTGGGTAAACCATGGGCTCATCCTGGCTTTTTCATTATTCCTGTTACCCTTGGGTACAAACCTCTCCTCAGCCTCCTTGCATTTTGTTGCTACATATTCCATCATCTCATTAACTGGCTTCCCTGCCAGTTCTCTGTCCCACTGACCCCCGTTCAGGAAGTTCCTCATTCCTGTGTAGTCCCCTTTCTTGTAGTTTGGCTCCATTCGTCCTGGCCTTCCTGCTTTTTCCCTCCACTTGTAGCTCTACTGTGTATTCGAAGCTTAAAACCACATGGTCACTGGCCCCAAGGGGTCTTTCATATGTGATGTCCTCGATATCTGCACTACTCAAGGTGAATACTAAGTCTAGCCTTGCTGGTTCATCCTCTCCTCTCTCTCTTGTAGTGTCCCTTACGTGTTGGTACATGAAGTTTTCCAGTACCACCTCCATCATCTTAGCCCTCCATGTATCTTGGCCCCCATGCGGGTCCAAGTTCTCCCAATCGATCTCCTTGTTTTTAAAGTCACCCATGATCAGGAGCTTTGCCCTGCATGCATGAGCTCGTCTGGCCACTCTAGCCAGTGTGTCAACCATCGCTCTATTGCTATCGTCGTACTCTTGCCTTGGCCTCCTGCTGTTCTGTGGTGGGTTATACATCACTGCTATTACCACCTTGGGACCTCCAGAGTGAAGCGTTCTCGCTATGTAATCACTTTCTTCTCCGCTGTCTCCTCTCTCCAGCTCATCAAAATTCCAGCGATTTTTGATTAGCAATGCCACTCCTCCACCCCCCCTGTTCCCTCTGTCTTTTCTCAGGATTTGGTATCCCATTGGAAAGATGGCATCTGTTATCATACCTGTAAGCTTGGTTTCTGTGAGAGCTATGATGTCCGGTGATGCCTCTTTGACTCTTTCATGCCACTCCTCCCACTTATCTGTTATACCATCAGCGTTTGTGTACCACACCTTCAGTTTCCTTTCCAACACTGTGGTTTGTGAGGCCTGTGAGGGTGGGAGACCTGGTGGCATACTGTGGGATTCTATAGCTCGGTGTTGGGTGGAGGCTGTGGGTATGGATTGTAGTGTGTGTTGGGATTGTGTGATAGGTTGTATGGTTCTGAGAATAGTTGTGTGTGTGCTTGCATTTGTTGTTCTGTTCTGCTCTGACTGACCTCTGCTGGTTCCATCCTTGTCTCTTTTCCTAGCTCCTTTCGCTTTTTTGTCCTCTCCCTCAGCTGCTGTCGTTCTGATTTTGTTCTGTCTCTGTCTAGGAACACCCTCTTGTACTCTTCCGAGTATTTCAATCATGGTTTCTCTTGGAGGATCCTGTTCCGCACTGTTTCCGTCCTGAGAATCAGCTTGATTGGTCGGTTTCTCCCCTTCGAGTACCCCCCTATCCTCTGAAAATTTACAATCTCGTCCATCTCTTCACCTATTTCCGTGATGATTTTCTCAATCTCCTTTCTCTCTTCCTGCTGCCTTTCAGTGTGTGTCCTTTCCTCTCTCTCCTGAAGCCCATGGATAAACACTGATTTTGCCCTTTCCTCCTCCCATTGCCTCACCCTCTGTGACTCTGGATCCTGCCTGTATGTGGTCAGTTTTTCCCTTGATTTTTCCAGTGGCTCTTGATAGCATGGTTGTGCCTCAGCATTCGACCTATCACTCTCTCCGTCTGCAACCAGCTGTTCTTCCCTTCCACTCCTTGGCTCTTTTTGGCAGGTTGATATGACCTTAGCATAATTCATAATTCCTTCCTTCCTGTTCGGCCTCGCAGCTTCATATGCTGTGTCTTTTCTGGTCACTGCCCCTGTAACTCGCTTCAGCCTATTTATCTCAACTTCTAGGTCCCTTATCTTGGCTACTGCAGTTTCGACTTGTGCCTCCCAATTCTTTGTTCGCTTCTCCACCTCTTTTCCAATTTCACAGAGAGCTCTTTCTCCATTTTTTCAGAAAGCTCTCCTAAATTTCTTCTCCCACTCTTGTTCCATCCTTTTCCACTGCTCCTCCATCCACTCCTCCCTACCAGAACCATTCTCATCTGATCCTTGGTTCCTGCGAGTCCCCACCATTTTTTTTTGTGTGTGTGTGCGTGTGTGTGTGTGTGTGTGTGTGTGTGTGTGTGTGTGTGTGTGTGTGTATGTGTGTGCGTGTGTGTGTGTGTGTGTGTGTGTGTGTGTGTGTGTTGTGTGTGTGTGTGTGTGTGTGTGTGTGTGTGTTGTTAGGGGCAGCAACACACTGCTGATGTATCCAACTACAATCACACACACACACACACACTACCACTACCGTCACCACACACACTACCCTACCGTCACCACACACACTACCACTACCATCACCACACACACCCCACTACCGTCACCACACACATCGCCACTACCGTCACCACACACACTACCACTACCGTCACCACACACACCACCACTACCATCACCACACACACTACCACTACCATCACCACACACACCACCACTACCATCACCACACACACTACCACTACCATCACCACACACACCACCACTACCATACCACCCCACACACACCACCACTACCATCACCACACACACCTCCACTACCATCACCACACACACCACCACTACCATCACCACACACACCACCACTACCATCACCACACACACTACCACTACCATCACCACACACACCACCACTACCATCACCACACACACCACCACTACCATCACCACACACACACACCACCACTACCATCACCACACACACACCACCACTACCATCACCACACACACCACCACTACCATCACCACACACACCACCACTACCATCACCACACACACTACCACTACCATCACCAAAACACACCACCACTACCATCACCACACACACCACCACTACCATCACCACACACACACCACCACTACCATCACACACACACACACCACTACCATCACCCACACACACCACCACTACCATCACCACCACATACCTGTCTTGTGTCAAGGAAGGGGCCTCATACATTAATGTCCCACCAGCGTGAAGGACATTCCACATCCTGAAAAAACAATGTTTCTTAATCTGGCCAGAGAACACACCGTCACATATCTTAATACAGACGTATTTCACCGTAAAATTACATTGCAGAATAGCAAAATAAATACGTCAAATACGTTAAAAAATCATCAGATGAGGTTAACGATGGCACATACGTTCAAAACAAAAGAAATAAAAACAAAAGCCAGGTAGGTATGATTTAAGAGAAGCTCTGAATACCTTATTTATTAAAGCAGCTCCGCTGTTGACATGATAAAGCACAGTATATAGACGAAAAATCGTCAATAAAGCTTCCATATACCTGCCACTGTGTTTCTTTACTATCACCAATGATAGGTTAGCCAGTAGAAGGCGTCAGTCACGCAACCAACTTTTATTAAAGCTGATGGACTGAACACATCTTCTCTGTCCGTAAGGACTGATCACCTCACACTCTCTCTTTATATCTTCTATGAGTTTATTTCTCTATATTTGACTGATAAACCCATTCGTTAGCGAAATGCTTCCCACGGTAAAGATACCCAGGTGTTGCACGCTTATTTCGTTCTTCCATCCAGAAGCTGCAGCAACGAGTTATCACACGACTAAAACACAGTCGGCCCCAGGCTAAGATTCGTGGGAACTCCAGGCTAAGATTCGTGGGAACTCCAGGCTAAGATTCATGGGAACCCCAGGCTAAGATTCGTGGGAACTCCATTTGCGCTGCATAGCCCTTGTGGCTTAGCGCTTCTTTTTGATTATAATAATAATAATAATAATACTAATAATAATAATAATAATAATAATAGTGGGAACTCCATATTGATTAACACTGGCAAGAAACCAGTCTATTCCCTTAAATATTTTTCGTAAAAAAACGTCTGTACACTGGAATCATCCTACAGCCCTTTAAGAAACATTAATAATATACAATAATAATAATTATTATTATTATTATTATTATTATTATTATTATTATTATTATTATTATTATTATTATTATTATTATTATTATTATTTCTACAAGTACATGATACTACTTACAGAGACATAGGAGACATCAATGACAAACTATTTAGAAAGCCCCTTGATATGCAGATCATTTCTGGCAAATCAGGTTGTCCCCAGGATGCGACCCACACCAGTCAGCTAACACCCAGGTTCCTACTTGCTGCTGGTGAACAGAGACAGCAGGTGACTTAAGGAAACACGTCCCAATTTTTCCACCCGTACCGGGAACTGAACCACCGACCTCAGTGCGGTACCAACCGAGCTGCTCCACAAAAGTGATAGCAGACCAATTTCCATTAGAAGCCGAATCGCAGAACGAGTGGGACTCGAACCTTGTGGTCCGTGTACAATCGTATTATTGCGATTACGTGAGCCAAGCGCAAATTAGAGTCAAGTAGGTAATTGTTCACTCTCCTGACGACCATTACCCAACCTAATGGCTAAAAAAAAACGTTGCTATTGAGTGTACTGACCTGGTTGGTGGGGTCAGCTTGGTCGAGGCCCAGGTAGAAGTAGCAGAAGCAGGCAACCTGTGACCACCAGCACACTGCTGCACACACACGATGATCCCGCTGTGTGCACGGCGGCCGACTCTTCTCCTGTAGCAGACATAACAGATGCTTGAAATTAAAGTCGTAGCGCTGAAGAGTGGTTGGTGGAAGGGCAATAATAACGTCATATCAGGAAAGTCCTTTATTGGTATCATATTTCACCCCACTGGCGAACTTGGTAATAAAAACACTGGTGGGTAAAGCGTTATTGATACCACTCGAGGGTCAAACATTGTACCATTAATGGACTTTACTGCTGCTACGTAAACATGAGCCTCGAGGTATTTTTCATAGAGCTCTCAGAAGGCATTTAACTAGAGCTTCCGGTGTTCTGGGTTCAAAAAGCTCCAGGACCACCACACGTGTTTTTTCGGGTCCTAACTTGAGAACAGAACCATTCGGGGAGTCTTTTTTGACACAACTAACACAACAAAATTTAGGAAAAGTTATTTTGCAGTAATAAAGTCTCCGGCGGCTGTAGTGAAGTGTTGAGATGCCATAAATAATTTATAGTTAAAGGTGAAATATGACTACCCGGGCTGAGACTGTAAATGAGCTGAGGTAGGATAACAGCTCTTGTAAATGAGCTGAGGTAGGATAACAGCTCTTGTAAATGAGCTGACGTAGGATAACAGCTCTTGTAAATGAGCTGAGGTAGGATAACAGCTCTTGTAAATGAGCTGACGTAGGATAACAGCTCTTGTAAATGAGCTGAGGTACGATAACAGCTTTTGTAAATGAGCTGAGATAGGATAACAGCTATTGTAAATGAGCTGAGGTAGGATAACAGCTCTTGTAAATGAGCTGACGTAGGATAACAGCTCTTGTAAATGAGCTGACGTAGGATAACAGCTCTTGTAAATGAGCTGACGTAGGATAACAGCTCTTGTAAAGGACCTGAGGTAGGATAACAGCTCTTGTAAATGAGCTGACGTAGAATAACAGCTCTTGTAAATGAGCTGACGTAGGATAACATCTCTTGTAAATGAGATGAGGTAGGATAACAGCTCTTGTAAATGAGCTGACGTAGGATAACAGCTCTTGTAAATGAGCTGAGGTAGGATAACAGCTCTTGTAAAGGACCTGAGGTAGGATAACAGCTCTTAATTTTTTAATATGCTGAGGTAGGATAATGGTAAGTACTCTGTAAATAAACTCAGGCAAGATATTAGTTAACAGCTGTCAGCTTTAAAATGAGCTGAGGTTGATTAGCAAATCTTAGCCTCAGAACTGACCAGTTCTGAAAAAGGAAAATATAAGTAATCACTAATTATTGTTGACCATATTATTTTGTGCTTGTACAGAGACTACGTTATGACTCGTGACACCCTGACTCGTGACACATTGCTGACACCCTGACTCGTGGCATATTACTGACACCCTGACTCGTGACATATTACTGACACCCTGACTCGTGACACATTGCTGACACCCTGACTCGTGACATATTGCTGACACCCTGACTCGTGACACATTGCTGACACCCTGACTCGTGACACATTACTGACACCCTGACTCGTGACACATTACTGACACCCTTACTCGTGACATATTACTGACACCCTGACTCGTGACACATTACTGACACCCTTACTCGTGACATATTACTGACACCCTGACTCGTGACACATTGCTGACACCCTGACTCGTGACACATTGCTGACACCCTGACTCGTGACACATTACTGACACCCTGACTCGTGACACATTGCTGACACCCTGACTCGTGACACATTGCTGACACCCTGACTCGTGACACATTACTGACACCCTGACTCGTGACACATTACTGACACCCTGACTCGTGACACATTACTGACACCCTGACTCGTGACACATTACTGACACCCTGACTCGTGACACATTACTGACACCCTGACTCGTGACATATTACTGACACCCTGACTCGTGACACATTACTGACACCCTGACTCGTGACATATTACTGACACCCTGACTCGTGACACATTACTGACACCCTGACTCGTGACATTATTACTGACACCCTGACTCGTGACACATTACTGACACCCTGACTCGTGACACATTACTGACACCCTGACTCGTGACACATTACTGACACCCTGACTCGTGACACATTACTGACACCCTGACTCGTGACACATTGCTGACACCCTGACTCGTGACACATTACTGACACCCTGACTCGTGACATATTACTGACACCCTGACTCGTGACACATTACTGACACCCTTACTTGTGACATATTACTGACACCCTGACTCGTGACACATTACTGACACCCTGACTCGTGACATATTACTGACACCCTGACTCGTGACACATTACTGACACTCTGACTCGTGACACATTACTGACACCCTGACTCGTGACACATTACTGACACCCTGACTCGTGACACATTACTGACACCCTGACTCGTGACACATTACTGACACCCTGACTCCTGACACATTACTGACACCCTGACTCTTGACACATTACTGACACCCTGACTCGTGACACATTACTGACACCCTGACTCGTGACACATTGCTGACACCCTGACTCCTGACACATTACTGACACCCTGACTCTTGACACATTACTGACACCCTGACTCTTGACACATTACTGACACCCTGACTCGTGACACATTACTGACACCCTGACTCCTGACACATTACTGACACCCTGACTCCTGACACATTACTGACACCCTGACTCTTGACACATTACTGACACCCTGACTCTTGACACATTACTGACACCCTGACTCGTGACACATTACTGACACCCTGACTCGTGACACATTACTGACACCCTGACTCGTGACACATTACTGACACCCTGACTCGTGACACATTGCTGACACCCTGACTCGTGACACATTACTGACACCCTGACTCGTGACACATTACTGAAACCCTGACTCGTGACACATTACTGACACCCTGACTCGTGACACATTACTGACACCCTGACTCGTGACACATTACTGACACTCTGACTCGTGACACATTACTGACACCCTGAATCATGACATTACTGAGATATTAGCGTGCTACAGTAGAGTTGCTGGAGGTAGCCGGGAAGTATAGTATAAAGGCCGGGAAGTATAGTATAGAGATGGGAAATATAGTATAGAGGCCGGGAAGTATAGTATAGAGACGGGAAATATAGTATAGAGTCCGGGAAGTATAGTATAGAGGCCGGGAAGTATAGTATAGAGACGGGAAATATAGTATAGAGGCCGGAAAGTATAGTATAAAGGCCGGGAAGTATAGTATAGAGACGGGTAATATAGTTTAGAGGCCGGGAAGTATAGTATAGAGACGGGAAATATAGTATAGAGGCCGGGAAGTATAGTATAGAGGCCGGGAAGTATAGTATAGAGACAGGAAATATAGTATAGAGGCCGGGAAGTATAGTATAGAGACGGGAAATATAGTATAGAGGCCGGGAAGTATAGTATAGAGGCCGGGAAGTATAGTATAGAGACGGGAAATATAGTATAGAGGCCGGGAAGTATAGTATAGAGACGGGAAATATAGTATAGAGGCCGGGAAGTATAGTATAGAGGCCGGGAAGTATAGTATAGAGACGGGAAATATAGTATAGAGGCCGGGAAGTATAGTATAGAGACGGGTAATATAGTTTAGAGGCCGGGAAGTATAGTATAGAGACGGGAAATATAGTATAGAGGCCGGGAAGTATAGTATAGAGGCCGGGAAGTATAGTATAGAGGCCGGGAAGTATAGTATAGAGGCCGGGCAGTATAATATGGAGGCCATTGCAGGTGTGGAGGAGGTAAAAGTAGCGGCATTTAATTAGCGTGATGGTGCCTGCCAATACTCTTTAAATAAGGGAAAGACGAAACGGGCTTTGAGATTAATACAAAAAAAATGGATAAAATCATAGGAATGAGAGATCTTGATAATCCTGAAGACGCGGGTGAAAAGAGGCTGAGAGAGAGAGAGAGAGAAAGAAACATGGTGAAATAGAGAAACTAAAGTCTGAATTAAAAATCGTAGGATTGATGAAAAATTTTAAGTGGTATAAATACTGGAAAGAGATGTATGATTCTTCAGATACTTCTGTCTAAAGATAAACTGCCCATTTTTTGATAGAGACATATAAAAAACAGCTATGTTAGTTGAATAATGACATGACAAACTGCCTTCCAGAGGGAATAATGACCTTTCTACTAGTGGGTCATTGTAGCATACAGATACCCTAGCTGGAACAATTTACAAATTGCATATGAATTTTTAGATAAATCTCTAGACGATGTTTCGATTACTTCTGGACCGTTGTTAAGTCACGTGTGTGAAAGAATAAAAAGTTACAAAGCCGTGGCTGGAATAATTCACGGAAAGCCATCTCTTGGGAAACGAAACTCATGATGACATTTCGGTCCCTCCTGGATCACTGTCAAGATCCAATGGTCCTAAACGACTGACATGTCAATAATTTGAGTGTGTGAGGACAGAGCTAAACATCACATGGATATTTATACCTTAACATTTTAGTGGGTTGGTAGTGGCTGCTAGTTCACTCAGGGTTGAGTCCAGGGAGAAGACTCACCGTTCACGACGTGCACCACGACAGAGGCAGCATCGGCGAACTGCGGCGCGCAGGTGTAGTTACCTGAGTCCCCTTTCATGGCTCGCGTCAAGAAGAGCTTCGAAGTGGTTTTGGCGGGAGTCTTCTCTATTTCGATGCTGACGCCGCCCCTGCCAAGCACAGGGAGAGACACCATCGTGTGAGGACAAGTGGACAGGGTGAGGACAGGAAGGAAGAGGCGGTGAAAGAAACCTATCGTGGGATTAAAGTGAAGAGAATGAGAGATGGGGAAGGAGGGAAAGGAGAGACTGGTAAGGGTAGGAGAATGAGAAAGGGTAAAACAATTATGAGATGGAAGGAATGAGAGCCAGAGCGTGAGGAGGGAGAAAGAATGAGAGAGAAAAAGGAAAGTGCGTGATGACAAGATGTTGAGGATACTCACACTGCTGCCCACCAGCTGCCCACCACATACTGTTGCCCACCAGCTGCTCACCACACACACTGCTGCCCACCAGCTGCCCACCACACAATGCTGCCCACCAGCTGCACACCACACACTACTGCACCACCAGCCGCCCACCACACAATGCTGCCCACCAGCTGCACACCACACACTACTGCAGCACCAGCCGCCCACCACACACTGCTGCCCACCAGCTACCCACCACAAACTGCTACCCATCAGCTACCCACCACACACTACTGCCCACCACCTACCCATCACACAATACTCTCCACTACCTGCCCACCACACATTACCGCTCACCACACAATACTGCACCACCAGCTAACCACCATACACTACTGCACCACCATCTGCCCACCACACACTACTACACCACAAGCTGCCCACCATACACTATTGCACCACCAGCTGCCCACCACACACGCTGCAGCACCTGCACTCACCTGGGGGAGTCGTAGTCTAGCTCATTAGTGTCTCTGAACCAGGTAACAGCGCCCACGTTCTCTGAGTGAGTGTTGACGATACAAGTAAGCTTGATAGTGGAGCCGCTCTGTATGTAGACTTCCTTGGGTCCCTGGATCCTAGCTTGTTGCACTGTAGGCCAGAAATACTGACTCTCAGATACTGACTCTCAGATACTGACTCTCAGGTGCTGACTCTCAGATATTGACTCTCATATACGGACTCTCAGATATTGACTCTCATATACGGACTCCGAAATACTGACTCTGGGATACTGACTCTGGGATACTGACTGGGATACTGACTCTGGGATACTGACTCTGGAATAGTGACTCTGGGATACTGACTCTGGGATACTGACTGGGATACTGACTCTGGGATAGTGACTCTGGGATACTGACTCTGGTATACTGACTCTGGGATACTGACTCTGGGATAGTGACTCTGGGATACTGACTCTGGGATAGTGACTCTGGGATACTGAGTCTGGGATAGTGACTCTGGGATACTGAGTCTGGGATACTGACTCTGGGATACTGACTGGGATACTGACTCTGGGATACTGACTCTGGGATATTGACTCTGGGATACTGACTCTGGGATACTGACTCTGGGATACTGACTCTGGGATACTGACTCTGGGATACTGACTCTGGGATACTGACTCTGGGATACTAACTCTGGGATACTGACTGGGATACTGACTCTGGGATACTGACTCTGGGATACTGACTCTGGGATACTGACTTGGGATACTGACTCTGGGATTTCTGACTCTGGGATACTGACTCTGGGATACTGACTCTGGGATACTACTCTGGGATACTGACTCTGGGATACTGACTGGATACAGACTCTGGGATACTGACTGGGATCTGACTCTGGATACTGACTCTGAGATACTGACTCTGGGATACTGGACTCTAGGACCACTGACCCCAGGGATACTACCTCAAAGATACACACACACACACACACACACACACACACACCACACACCACACACAATCACACACAACACCCCACACACACACACACACACACACACACACACACAGAATCTTGAAGAGAAAATGTTATGGAAAATGAAGGAAAAACGTCACCAAAATCTTTTTTACAGTTTCAGGTTCTGGCAGTCAGAGTATCGGTGAAATAAAGTGAAATTCCTGTTTTCCTCTGCCTCTGTTGCCACGGAAATCTGCCACGGAAATCTGCCAAGGAAATCTGCCCCCAGAAATTGCCACTGGCCTTTTATGTTTCCTGAGCCCCAGATGTTTCTTTTGGTTGGAGGGAGACCAGCTGTGGGCGGTGTGGGTGATGCTGTGTGGGTGCTGTGGTGCGGGTGGTGTTGTGTTGGTGGTGTTGTGTGGGTGTTGTGTGAGTGCTGTGGTGTGGGTGCTGTGGTTTCGGGTGGGGTTGTGTGGGTGTTTTGTGGTGCTGTGGTGTGGGTGTGTGGGCGGGTGGTGTTTTGTGGGTGGGTTTTGTGGGTGTTGTGTGGGTGGTTGTGTGGGTGCTGTGGGCGGGTGGGGTTGTGTGGGTGTTGTGTGAGTGCTTGGTTTTTTTGGGGGTGTGGGGCGGGTGGTGTTGTGTGGGTGGTGTTGTGTGGGGGTTGTGTGGGTGTGTGGGGGGGGTGGTGTTGTGTGTGGTGGGTGTGGGTGCTGTGGTTTGGGTGGTTTGTGTGGTGGTGCTTGTGGGGGTGGGGTTGTGTAGGTGGTGCTGTGTGGGTGGTGTTTGTGGGTGGTGTTTTTGTGGGTGGTGGTTTTTGGGTGCCGTGGTGTGGGGGGGTTTCTGTGGGGTTTTTTTTTGGGGGGGTTTTGTGGGTGGTGTGTGTGGGTGGGTTGTAGTGGTTGCTGGGGTGGGTGGTGTTTGTGTGGGTGCGTTGGGGTGGGTGGTTGGGGTTTTGGGGGGTGTTTTGTGAGTTGGGGGTTGTGGGTGGTGTTGTGTGGGTGGTGTTGTGTGGGTGGTGTTGTGTGGTTTGGGGGTTTGTGTGGGTGGTGTTTGTGGGTGGTGTTGTGTGGGGTGGTGTTGGTGGGGGGTGTTGTGTGGGGTGCTGTGGTGTGGGTGCTGTGTTGTGTTGGTGTTGTGTGGGGTGCTGTGGTGTGTGGGTGTGTTGTGGGGTGGTTTGTGTGGGTGGTGTTGTGTGGGTTGGTGTTGTGTGGGTGGTGTTTGTGGGTGGTGTTGTGTGTGTGTTGGTGGGGTGGTGTTGTGTGGGTGTGTGTGGTGGGGTGTTGTGTTGGTGTGATGTTGGGTGGGTTGTGTGGGGGGTGTTGTGTGGTGGTTGTGTGGGTGGTTTTTTGGGGTTTGGGGGGTGTTGTGTGGGGGTGTTGTGTGGGTGGTGTGTGGGGTGGTGTTGTGTGGTGGTTGTGGGGTGGTGTTGTGTGGGTGGTGTTGGGGTGGGTGCGGTGTTGGTGGGGGTGTTGTGTGGGTGGTGTTGTGTGGGGGGTATATGTGTGGGTGGTGTTGTGTTGTGGTTGTGCGGGTGGTGTTGTGTGGGTGGGGTTGGTGGGTTTGGGTTTTGTGGGGGTGGTTTTTGGTGTGGGGTGGTGTTTTGTGGGTGGTGTTGTGGGTGGTGTGTGTGGGTGGTGTTGTGTGGGGGTGTTGTGTGGGGTGGTGTTGTGTGGGTGTGTTGTGGGGTGGTGTTGTGTGGGTGGTGTTGTGTGGGTGGTGTTGTGTGGGTGGTGTTGTGTGGGTGGTGTTGTGTGGGTGGTGTTGTGTGGGTGGTGTTGTGGGGTGGTGATGTGTGGGCGGTGTTTGTGGGGTGTGTGAGTGTGGGGTGGTGTTGTGTGGGTGGTGATGTGTGGGTGGTGATGTTGTGGGCGGTTGTATGGGCGGTGTTGTGGGGGGTGTGTGGTGGGGGTGTGTTGTTGGGGGCGGTGTGTTGTGGGGGTGGTGGTTGTGTGGGTGGTGTTGTGTGGGTGGTGTTGTGTGGGCGGTGTTTGTGGGTGTGTTGTGTGGGTAGTGTTGGTGGGTGGTGTTGATGTGGGTGGTGTTGTGTGGGTAGTGGTGTGTGGGTGGGATGTGTGCATGGGCGGTGTTGTGGGGGCGGGTGTTTGTGTGGGTGGTGTTGTGTGGGTGGGTTGTGTGGGTGGTGTTGTGTGGGTGGTGTTGTGTGGGCGATAACGACGTAATTTTTAAGAGTGAGAAGGGAGAATTGTAGTGGGTGTAACAATGGTATGGGAGTAGTAGTGGTGGTGGCGATAGTAATTGTGGTAGTGAGAGTGGTTGTGGAGACAAAGTACTAGTAGTAGTACTAGTGGCGATAGTACTAGTAGTGGTAGTGGTGGTAGTACCGTTAGTAGTGATGGAAGTACTGGTAGTGGTGATAGTACTGGTAGCGGTGGTAGTAGTGGTGGTCGTACTAGTAGTAGTGGTAGTGGTGGTAGTAGTCGTGGTAGTACTGGTAGTAGTGGTGGTAGTAGTAGTAGTAGTACTGGTAGTAGTGGTGGTAGTAGTGGTAGTAGTAGTGGTAGTAGTACTGGTAGTAGTACTGGTAGTAGTGGTGGTAGTAGTGGTAGTAGTACTAGTAGTAGTGGTAGTAGTACTGGTAGTAGTGGTGGTAGTAGTGATAGTAGTACTGGTAGTAGTGGTGGTAGTAGTGGTAGTAGTACTGGTAGTAGAGGTGGTAGTAGTGGTAGTAGTACTGGTAGTAGTGGTAGTAGTACTGGTAATAGTGGTAGTAGTACTGGTAGTAGTACTGGTAGTAGTGGCAGCAGTACTGGTAGTAGTGGTAGTAGTACTGGTAATAGTGGTAGTAGTACTGGTAGTAGTGGTGGTAGTAGTGGTAGTAGTACTGTTAGTAGTGGTAGTAGTGGTAGTAGTACTGTTAGTAGTGGTGGTAGTAGTGGTAGTAGTACTGGTAATAGTGGTGGTAGTACTGGTAGTAGTGGTGGTAGTAGTACTGGTAGTAGTGGTGGTAGTGGTAGTAGTACTGGTAGTAGTGGTGGTAGTACTGGTAGTAGTGGTGGTGGTAGTAGTGGTAGTAGTACTGGTAGTAGTGGTGGTAGTACTGGTAGTAGTGGTGGTAGTAGTGGTGGTAGTACTGGTAGTAGTGCTGGTAGTAGTGGTAGTAGTACTAGTAGTAGTTGGTGGTGTACTGGTAGTAGTGGTGGTGGTAGTGGTAGTAGTGGTAGTAGTACTAGTAGTAGTGGTGGTAGTACTGGTAGTAGTGGTGGTAGTAGTGGTAGTAGTACTGGTAGTAGTAGTAGTACTGGTAGTAGTGGTGATAGTTTTGGTAGTAGTACTGGTAGTAGTGGTGGTAGTAGTGGTAGTAGTACTGGTAGTAGTGGAGTATGTTAGGTAGTGGTGGTAGTGTGGTAGATAGTACTGGTAGTAGGTGGAGTAGTGGTAGTAGTACTGTAGTAGTGGTGGTAGTACTGGTAGTAGGCTGGTGTAGTGGTAGTGTAGTTATAGTTAGTAGTGGTGGTAGTACTGGTAGTATGGTGGTGGTATAGTAGTGGTAGTAGTACTAGGTAGTAGTGGTGGGGTAGTAGTACTGGTAGTAGTGGTGGTTAGTGTGGTAGTAGTACTGGTAGTAGTGGTGGTAGTGGTAGTAGTACTGGTAGTAGTGGTGGTAGTAGTGGTAGTAGTACTGGTAGTAGTGGTGGTAGTAGTGGTAGTAGTACTGGTAGTAGTGGTGGTAGGTAGTAGTGTAGTAGTGGTTGTAGTAGTGGTTGGTAGTGGGTAGTAGTACTGGTAGTAGTGGTGGTAGTAGTGGTAGTAGTACTGGTAGTAGTGGTGGTAGTGGTGGTAGTAGTACTGGTAGTGGTGGTGGTAGCAAAAGTCTTATGTCTTCAATATTCTACAATTTCCTAATTTAAAAACACTTAGTGTCCAGTGAAGTGTGGTTAGAGGTTAGGTTCTAATTCTTATGTATCTGATGTGCTCTTTATTCTGTGTGGTAGCGTGTGTGCTCACCTAACTGTGATTGCAGGGGGTCGAATCATAGCTCCTGGCCCCTCCTCTTCATGGTCGCTACTTGGTCCACTCCCTGCTCCACGAGCTTTATCATACCTCTTCTTAAAGCTATGTATGGATCCTGCCTCTACAACATCACTCTCCAGCCTGTTCCACTTCCTGACAACTCTATGATACTGAAGAAATACTTCCTAACATCCCTGTGAGTCATCTGTGTG